CCACATCTCCCAAATAGTCGGCGTTTTGCCGTAAATTCAATTGACTGTCGAATAGACTTTCGATGGCATTAGCGCTGACTAGAGAGCAGTCTTCGAGGAAAAGTAGTTTCTTATATCTTGCGATCGCTTTGTCCAACAAATCGCACTTTCCTTTCGTTTTCACCGCAAATGCGAACTCCTTTGAGTTGATTGTGAAAAATGTTTTGTCGATTTTGGCCACCTGTGGGTACGGCCATATGTTACCGGTGCTCTCGGCACTGACCTGAATATGTATGTAATTAAATATTGAGTTAGATTTTATGTAGTTTAAAAATTATGGTCGTATTGTATTGGTTATAAATATTACAGTATACAACACTTATGTGCAAATAATATGAGTATAAATGAGTAAATTACTTGAGTTCCGTAGACAACAATTAATCCAAATATAAACACAATTAAATTCATGATTGAAACACACAAATAATTTTACACTCCCTCTCAAAACATTTTAAATACACAATTCATTTGTAGATAACTGTTGAATGGAAAACACTGTAGAAGTTTGAAGTGATTTGAAAGTCCATTCACGATATGAGCGACAATTGATCCACTTTTTTATATATCATTAATTTGTCTCAAAGTATTGTTTTTAGATTAATGCTGATATCATTTTGTTAACTAAACACTTTTGTATTAAATAAACTATTTATTTTAATTGTGGTTTAAGTAATAATAATAATAATCAGATTTGTTAAAAATTAAGACGAATATTCAAATGAATGAAATATTATTTTATTGCATTATTATTTATCTCATAGCACAAATTAATATACATGAATTGATAAATAACTGGATGTTTTTTAAGTCAATACACTCTATCACTGGTTTTATCAATTAATATCAATTAAATATAAATAAATGTTTAGATGTACAGTAAGTATAATTTATTATCAATGATACAGTACTGTATAAACGAAGTGATTAGTGACGATATAATGATGAATACTGAACACTATTTTATTACTAAATTATAAAATAAAATTATTAAATTTTTATTAAACACATATACACTAAATTGAATGAAATGCTGAATAGAATTACTGTACCAGTACTATAATGATAAATAGTAAATATCCAGGTGCAAAAAATATACAATACAATGCAATACAATTTTATTTTATTTTATTTTATAAATGTGTTTTGGCTATAAATTAAAAATTATTTACAATATATTATTTACTTTTATAGTAATTATTCCCATTTTTATACGTTGCCTGTAAATAACCTTATTGATATAACTTATTATTGAGTCGAGTGCAGTGTTTATAGTAATTGTCAGGTTATTTTAAACTTGTACTAGTATAATAGTGTATAGCAATATTATGTTATTATTAATATTGAATTCTTTTTGCATATTCTGAAAAAATATTATTAACAGTAAGCACAATTCAGTTTACTACATACTATATATACAAAGTATACAAAGTAGATTCCCATATTTTCGTTATACTATATTTTCATGCCATTTATTCATATGCGTTAATAGCTCAAAATTATGACCTGACCATTATTAGATGACAAATTTATTATTTATCACTTAGAAAAATATAAATATATAATAATATTAACTGCAATAAAATTAAAGTTAGCAATATAATTGAGATTCAATGTAATCATAATTTATAATAATTCTAATATAAGTTTGCCTAAATGTCATGTTTATTTTTTCACCTGAATAGCTATGTTTACATCATAACACAATTGCGTAATTATAATAGTTTATATTGTTGCTATATAATAATTATTAGACTTTGCATTGGATTTATACTCATATATTCTTGTGTAGTAAGCATATTACTTAATACAATAGGATTACATTAAGTCAAATACAACTCAACATTCAATATAAATGATTAGATTTTATATAAAGAGTAAACATGTTTAATCAAATTTTTATAATATATTCTTGTGTAGTAAGCATATTACTTAATACAATAGGATTACATTAAGTCAAATACAACTCAACATTCAATATAAATGATTAGATTTATATATTTCTCATTTGTACAAATTAGTTTAAAAATATAGCAATATTTCATAACTATTAAATTGTTAATAACAAAATAAAGATTCTTCAAGATTAAATTGGGCCTAGGAAACCGATAAACTATATTAAAGTTGATATTAAATTTTGATCTCATAAATAAAAGTATTTGAATTATAATTCCTAAAAACCTGTGTTTATATTCCAGGTAATTATAACAATTTTAAAATATTAAAATATGAACCCATGACTTATCCATTAGGCATTAAATGATTTGTAAAATAATATTTAATTTTGAGTTAATTGTTTTTATCATGATTTATACTTTAGTAAATTTTAAAACTTAAATAAATAGTGTCCATGTTATATATTTCAAAACGGAAAAATATTAAAATTTTCAATTTGATATCGATGCTAGTTTTAAAATATGACAAGTAAAATATAATCGCTAAAGCATCTATAATAAAGTACCCATAATATTGTACTGGTATTTTTATAAAACAATTATTAAATATTAAAGATTTTTATTTACGATAGATTTTGTTTTTAGAAATGATAAAGTTTGTAAAAAATATTTGTTTTTATATGAAATTCTGAGAAAACTTAAATTTTAAGAATTGCTATCATAAGAGGGGCAATAATCTGACACAAGTTTGAAGTTGTTTAACAATTTATATCAAGTATCAAATTCATATCTAACCATCAAATCACTCAAAACGCGGATATATTAATGTCAGTACAGGATATGTAAATTCACTACAGTATCATATTTATTAACTTTAGTTCATTCTGTACCATTATACTGT